TTATTATGAAAAAGCAAAAAGTTGTGATTTGATGCTAATGCCTTATTTTAGTGCAACAGAGAGAATTGGAAGGAAATGCTTTTTTTTTCTTTTTCGTATCCTTCCTCACTTCTCTTCCCCCTTTTCCTCGCAACTGCTTTTCTATTTACTTTTGTATTTTACAATATTTTATAACTCAATAAAAACGTTACTGCGAAAACATTTAGCTTCTCATCCAAAAATAGAAGAAGCTTCTTGGATGAAAAGTGAAGTGTTTTCAAGGAAAAAACAAGAAAGTCCAGTTGCCTTTTGGAAAAGAATTATATTTAAAACAATATTCAGGACACACTGGCCACTGTCTGAAGAAAGAAATCGGCATTTCTAACTCTCTGGCTCCTACAAGTGGATTGTTAATGCACTGTGCCTTTTTGTTTCAGAATACACTTGGGGATAGCATGAAAAGAATTATGTGGGGCTTGAAAGGAAATTATAGGTCAAGGAGCAGCCAGGGGAAAAAATTGGGGTTAAACAAAGTCATTGTGGCTTTGAGAAGGCGATTCCAAACATAAGCCACCTGTGTGAAATTCTGTTAATGTGCTGGACTAGGACAGGAAGCTTTAGAGAAACGCAGATTTAAGTCCACTGACAGCCACAGATACTGAGTAATTTTGGGACACTTGCTCTCTCTCAGCCCAATTATTTCACAGGACAGTAGCTGTTCATTTATAAAAAGATCTCCGTATTAGATCTCTTGAAAAAAGGCAAAATGTAGATCATAAAAGCAGGGGAGAAAAGGGAAACAATATTTTGACAGGGTGGGTGGGTGGAGACCTTCCAAGGGAAAATCTCCAGGTAAAAAAAGACCAGAAAGGAGCTGATTTATAATCTCAGGTTTTCTTGGACTCACACTTCCTGCTGGATCAGTAGGTAGAAGCAGTGACCTTCTAGGAACAGGAAACATAGTGCATAGTATTTATTTAATTCAATGTACAGCGTGCCTAATCACCAGGTCATTTGTCCCTTTGGTTGAACGACTTGCTTGCATCTTGCTCCCTTAAAGACCATCCAGAAACTTCAGTGAAAATTTAGCTGGGGGTGACAGGGTTTCATTTCATTTTTCATTTTTTAAGCGCTTGGCCTTATTTTCAGGGGCCTTA